CGACCCCCAGGGCGGCCCCCCGGGGTATGGGGACGCTTACCCGGCCCCCGGCCCCGAGGGGGCGCCCCAGGTCCCCCTCCGGGAGGTGGGGGGCGCGGCCCCAAACTTTTTCCTGGTGGGGCCAGAGAGGGGGACGCATTCGGGGCGGGAAGGCACCCCCCTTGCCCGCCGGTGCAACGCCCCCCCCCCCCCTCCGGCCCAGGGCGGGCTCCGGGTCAAAGGTCAGCTCCGCGGGACTCCGGGGAAGGGCGGGTCCCCGGGGTCGGAGGCGCCTTTCGGGGAGGGAATAGGGGCGGTGTTCCCTGGTGGGCTCCCCGCGGGACGGAGCCTCGCGCGCCCCGTCTGCTGGTGTCCCACCCTCGGGCCCCCCCCCCCCCACGCACGACGTTCGCCCCGAGGTGTGCAAGAGCCGTGGCCGACCCAGGTGCGCCCCCGACGGGACCCGTCGGGAGAGGCAGGCACTCGGCCAGCATCCCCACCCACGCGGTGGAGGGCGGTGGACCCCACCCGCGAGGAAAAGAGGTTGGGTTTGCGGGTGGGGAGCAGCCTTCCGCGGGGCCTGCGGGGCCACTTCTTTTTTTAAAAAATTTATTTTAGTGATTCTTTACAGAGAGGAAGGGAGAGGGATAGAGAGTTAGAAACATCGATCAGCTGCCTCCTGGGGATGTGCCCGCAACCAAGGTACATGCCCTTGACCGGAATCGAACCTGGAACCCCCGAGTCCGCAGGCTGAGGCTCTATCCACTGAGCCAAACCGGTTAGGGCAACCGGGGCCACTTCTTTGGGAAGGAATTCATGGCTGCAGCCACCAGTGGTGCCCACGTCTGTGGGAACCATACATAGATTTATTTTTTTAAAAAACACAAAAAACAGGAAGGGAATGCAGTGAAGGTGCGGATGATGGGGTGCGACCCACAGGAACCGTCCCGAATGTGTGGGCCTCCCCCCAGAGAAAGGCCATGTGCGTGTGTGCTAGCGTTTCGACTGGAGGGTCCCTGTCTGATTCCCGGTCAGGGCACATGCCCAGGTTGCCGGCTCCATCCCCAGTAGGGGGCGTGCAGGAGGCAGCCGATCCATGATTCTCTCTCATCATTAATGTCTCTCTCTCTCTCCCTCTCCCTTCCTCTCTGAAATCAATAAAAACATATTTAAAAAGAAAACAGGGCCAGTGACACCGTGCAGAGCAAGAGCGGAGCGGCCTGCTGGACACCTCGGAAGTTCCAATATGGAGTCACTGTGGCCATGAGGGTCGTGTCCAGTGCTGTCAGGACCGAGGTGACGGTGTAACAGGAACGCTGGAGTGTGGCTGTGTCCCCAGTCGCGCCCGGAGCCCTGCCGACTTCCGCCCACCGGGCAGGTGCCACGGCTGCTGGTGCCACGGCTACGGCCGCCGCCTGACTTGAGACCCACGCCCTCTGCCACGTGTGGACGCCGCCAGTGACCCAGACATCCCACCAGACACTCTGCTGCTGCCGGCGCTCCCCTCCCCTCTCCGAGGGTACCATGCGCGCGGCTCTATTGGCTCATGGGAGGCATCCGCTAACACACCGGCGATGTGGACAGACCCAGCGGGGGTGAGTGGCTTTTCCCGGGGACACTCCGTTGCTCACGGCACGCACCTCGGAGTGCCCCACGGCTCTGACAGCGACAGCTCTGCCACCCATGCAGCCACAGCGTGGCTCTCAGGGATCCGTGTAACAGCACAGCGGACGAGAAAGAACTCAGTGGGAATTCCGTCTCAGAACGACAGAAACAGGTGACACGTCAGGAGAGCGGTGGCCGTGGGAGGGTTAGCGACTGACACAAGGAAGCTGGGAGGGGGGTGCTGGTGGTTAGGATCTGTTCTTTTTAACTGGATATTGGTTACCAGTGGCTCCATTTGTGAAAATTTATCAAGCCGTTCATATATGATATGTCCCTCCTCTTTTTATTTTTTTAATATATTTTTATTGATTTCAGAGAGGAAGGGAGAAGGAGAGAAACATCAATGATGAGAGAATCATTGATCGGCTGCCTCCTGCACGCCCCCCACTGGGGATCGAGCCCGCAACCCGGGCCGGGCAATGCCCTTTTCCGAATGCATGTTAGATTTAAAAATCGAAACCAAGCCCTGGCCAGTGCAGCCAAGTGGTTAGAGCGTCGCCCCGGGCACGGAAGGGTCTCGGGTCCAGGGCTTGTACTGGTTTGCAGGTTTGATCCCTGCCCCGGTTGGGGGAGGCAACCAACCCATGTGCCTCTCATCGATATTTCTCTCTCTCTCTCTCTCTCTCTCTCTCTCTCTCTCCCCCTCCTTTTCTCCCTTCCACTCTCTCTAAACATTCAATGGAAAAATACCCTCGAGTGAGGATTAACAAAACAACCACCAAAAACAAAAAGACGAGTGACTCCTCTCCCCACAGGAGCCTCAGAACTTCGAGGCTCCAGACGGGGGCCCCTGGCTACCTGCCTCCTGGGTGAGGCGCTTCCCAGAAGAGGTGGCCCGGACTGGCCCCTGAAGGCTCGCAGAAGGGCGGGAAGGGTTTCCTGGGCAGAGGGAACAGCATCTGCGAAGGCGAGGGGCACAGAGACCCTGGGCAGCTCGGGAAGATTGCCTGGTGCATTTTGGTGGCCTGGGGCCCAGGCGGTGGTGGGGTCCTGCAGGCAGCTGGCTGTGGGGTGGAGACAAATGAGACTCATCAGTGCTTGGCGGTAGCTGTGTTTTTAAGCCCCGTAACGAGGCTGGAGTGCCGAGAGGGTGAGGGAGGTGCTCAGATGTTACTTCCTTAAAATTCACACGGCTCTCGGGGCTTCAGGGACCCCTTTCTGCCGGGGCTCAGAGAGGTGAGGTCGTGGGCAGATTCTCATGACAAGAGGATCTGGGATTTAAACCCAGGACATGGGTCTCCCAGTCCCGGGCGCCTATGGAGGGTTCCGTCTGTCACTGAACCCCACGGCGTAAACATTCCCCATCAGTTGAAACCGGCATCGCACAGCTAGCGAGTGACAGGATGAGAGCGGTGTGCACACACATGCACTTGGCCGTGTCCTTTGGGGGTTATCAATCAGGCAGCGGCGGAAACCGCGGGCCCTGGCTCCGCTCCCAGCGTGGCTGCACCCCAAGAGCCATCGCTGCCCAGAAACCCATTCGCGGCGCTGGCAGAGGCACGGGCCGAGCGTGGCTCTCGCCTCCTCCCCGGCTTTGAGCAACATCTTGGTTTAATCTGGGCCGTTTCCACGGGCAAAAGAAACGGGCGTCTCGTTGCTCCAACGCGTCTTTAACCACCACGGAGGCTGACCGGCGCTCCCCGTGCGCTTATTAGCGTTCGCATTGCTTTCTGTGTGACTGCTTTCATGACCTGCACTCATTTGTTTTCGTAACAGCAGGATTGTTTATTATACAGAAAAACTAAAAAAATAAATAAATACATAAAGCATGTCCAACAATGGCCTGTTTGCGGTACGTGCCACGGGCGCCCTGTGAGAGGCCCACTCGGAGGCCTAAGTGGAGTGTGATCTTCGTGACCTAATATTATGTCAAGAAATAACAATAATGAGGAAAACAGAATTGCATGTGAGCGTGCAGGTCCACACAGCAGTTCCTGTAACTAAAGATCAAAAGGAACTAAATGGAAGTGGATGTTGTGTTTGGTGAACTTTTTCTTTTCCTTTTTTAGGAAACAGCTGAGATGGAGAGGAATAAGTGTACCAAAGGCTGAAGGGATAGGGTTCCTGCACCTAAACTTGACCCTGATGTGGAGGGTTCTCTCTTTTCCGCGTCCAGCAAGGCTAGGGAGCGGTCCGGTTCCTGAGTAGGGACGGCTGGGGATTGAGAAAATGAAAGGAAGAGACAGACACAGAGATGGAAGGAAAAGCTGGGACCGGGTGGGAACGCTGCCCTCTTCTGATGGAGAGACAGGGACCCAGCACCGATACAGCGTGTTTATTTTATACCCCAAATACCAGGAAGTTTCGTCATAGGTCAAGATAAAGGAGATTATGTGCATTCTTGTAATGTCAGTTCTGGATGGGGTCACATTCTTTCCTGGTGCTTGGCTGGATTTACATAATAAAACCCACTCCCGGCACCTGGGCTGAAGGTCAAGCTGAGAACACTTCTGCCTTTTGGCAAAATGTGTTTCCAGGACGTGGTTTGCCTACCGCCCTGGATTCGGCTGACAATTTATTAAAGAAATGCCCATGCGCCTTCCCAGGGGCTCTCTACACCCTGACTTTCTTGGCAGCCAGAGTAAAAACCACGTTCTGACCGCTTCTGATGTTTAACCGGGAGAGAGCGTTCTCCTGGCTGCGCGTCCCTCTGCAGCTCTGCGTAAGTCAAAACGTGACAGCACATTTGCGTGTCGTTTGCAGAAGATGGGACTGATTTCCAGGGAGGCCCCCCACCCTCTGAGCCCCGGTCGGGGCAGGATGACACCCCCTCGGCTTCATTTCCAAGCAGGAAGCCATTCATCACGCCCGCTGTGACGGCCCAGCTGTCCCTCATCCCAGAGCGGCCGCACAGCCATTGCTCTCCGGGACAAACAGCTCTCTGTCTGTTTGAAAGATCGTTGTTGGCACCCGGGGCCTGTTTTTCTCCAGAAAACAAATGGCTTTGATGCCGCCCAGCCTGTGAGGACAGCGTCCTGTGGGTCTTCGTGTGCGGCTGCGGCGCACCATGGGTGGTTTCGGGGGGCAGCGGCTGCCCTGGCCCCTGCCCGCCCCTATACCCCTGGCTCACTGGCGGCAGTCCCCGGGCCTTTGCACGGCTCCTGGACCCAAGACATCCTGGTGTTTCCTACCTCCTGTTTCTTTGTTGAAGAGTTGGCTTCCTCTCTGCCCCTGGCCTCCGGGCTCCCAGAGGGAAGGAAGCCTCTGCACCCTGTGGCGGGCAAACATCCTGCTGAGTGCGGGGATGGGCCGAGCTGCGTTCCTAGCAGGTGGCGATGCAGTGACAAGCGCCGGGCTCGGGGTCAGAGTCACACGGAGCATCACAACCACCTCTGAGGAGACTGTGGCTTAGGGATGTGGCACCCAGGTGGCTCCCCGGGCCCTGCCCTCTGCCGGCCCCAGAGCTGGCCCAGTGCTGAGAGCCAACTCCCTCCACTCCGGGCCACAGGAGAGGCCACAGGTGGGAGCCTGACCATGGGGAGGGGCACGCAGCGCCGCCATAAGCGTAGTCCCGTGGGCGTGGCAAACGTGATTGACAAAAAGATGAAAAGCGCCAGTCCAGCGTGGCTCAGTGGTTGAGCGGCCGACCCATAAACCAGGAGGTCACGGTTCCATTCCCGGTCAAGGGCACATGCCCAGCTTTCGGTCTCAATCCCCAGTGTGGGGCGTGCAGGAGGCAGCCGATCCATGATTCTCTCTCATCATTGATGTTTCTATCCCTCTCTCCCTGTCCCTTCCTCTCTCGTTTGTATACAGAAATCCAGGGGTAACTTTCTTATTATAGTGTGAAAAAAAGCATTGGAGCTCCTGTGGTGAGGAAGAAGAAACCGTCCATAGCTGAAGGGAGAGTAATTTTGTTTTGACAAAATGAGAGAACTCTGCTCTGGTTCTGGAAAAGCTGCCCCTGGAGCGTGGAGACGGCCAGCGTGTGTCTGGGCTTTTGTTCGCGCCGTTTCTGCTGGTGTCAGCCGTCAGTGCAGGAATGAGGCTGCAGAACAGCAAACAGGCTGATAACAAGCATCTATTTGTTTTTCCACCTTTGTTTGAAGAATTCCCCGCTTAGGAGCCTCGCAGAAACAAAGTTCTCCTTCTCCCACCCCAGGGTGCTGGCCGGCCACCAGGTCCGCCGACCGCAGGTTGTGTAGAGGGAGCTGGTGATGGAAAGGGGCAGGGTTGGTGGCGAATCCAGTTTGTTGGCGGTTAGAAGCAACGGCAGCAAACACGTGGGATTCCTGGGGTCTCTGCTGGCAGCCGAGCGAGCCGTGGCATCCGGTGTTGAGTGGCACGTGGCACGTGGTAGTGATATCACCGGATGGTTTGTTTTGTTTTTTTAATATATTTTATTGATTTTTTACAGAGAGGAAGGGAGAGAGATAGAGAGTTAGAAACATCGATGAGAGAGAAACACCGATCAGCTGCCTCCTGCACACCCCCCACTGGGGATGTGCCCACAACCAAGGCACACGCCCTTGACCGGAATCGAACCTGGGACCCTTGAGTCCGCAGACTGATGCTCTATCCACTGAGCCAAACTGGTTAGGGCTCACCGGATGGTTTTGGGGCCTGAATCTGGCTGTGGCCCTGGCTACTCCAGACACCCCTGTTCCAGCCCAGCCTCTAGGCTTGGTCTGCAGTGTTCCTGATGACCTACCGGCTGCCCAATGCCATCCCAGTGCATTTCTTGCTAATTACATCCTCCAGAGCTGGTTCCTGGCGCTGACAACTAAGAGCGCTGATGGATGTGGAGATTGTTAGAGGCTTAGAGGGGGCATGCACCTTCCCCTAACGATGTGGGCACTGAGAACAGTGGCCCGCATTTCACGGCATCTGGATGTAAGGTCGGAACATGACTTTGGTTGCCTTTGGTGGGAGGTAAAATAGTTGTAGTTGTGGGTGAGATGTTTGAGTTGAGTTCAGCAAAACCAGGTTTATATGGAGAGAGACAGGGTACATGGGTGTCCTGAGCATCCAAGGGGTGGGATGGAGTGGGCACTTTGGGGACTTAAGCCCAGCCCGTGACTCCCTCTCCTTTGAGAACTGTACCTTTTAGTAAAATGCTGCATTTTTAAAAATATATTTTTATTGATTTCTGAGAGGAAGGGAGAGGGAGACAGAGAGAGATAGAAACATCGATGACGAGAGAGAATCATGGATCGGCTGCCTCCTGCGTGCCCCCCACTGGGGATCGAGCCTACAATCCGGGTATGTGCTCTTGACCAGAATCAAACCCAGGACCCTTCAGTCCACAAGCTGACGCTCTATCC